GGCCCGCGCCCGGGGGCGCCACCTGCTGGCGGGCGTCCGCACTGCGGGAGAGGGCGAGCTCGGGCGTGCGCGCTCGGCCCGCCCGCGACTCCCGCCAGGCGCTGACGGTGACAGCTAGCCCGGGGACCTACCTGCAGGGCTGGGGAGGTCCTGGGACAGCGACGCTCCTGCAGCTCCGGAAGGAGGCCGGCGCTGAGCCGCGGGGCTGCCCGGGCGCGCGCCGCTGTGGTCCCGGGCCTGCGCCTGCAGGAGCGCTGAGACGCGGGCGGGCGTCGCCGGCGTGGGCACGTCCTGCCGGGCGTCCGCGGGGCGCAGTTCGTGTCCCCAGAACCGAAGGGTGAATTGAGGCTCAGCGGGGTTGAGTAGGGAATCTGATTGAGGGAGAGACAGCTCCTGCCCGCGCGTGAGGCGGCTGGCCAAGGACTGCGCTTCGCAAAGGAAGTCCTGGAGGGCAAAGTCACGAGGGGCTAAGATGGGCGAAACTATGGGCCACCGACACGATTGTAGATACAGTGTCTTGGGTAGTATCCATCCAGCGAGGAAGGCGGTGGCGTGGTAAGTGCAAAGCCAAGCACACGGACCTTCCCCGAGGGGAGGGTCAGGAGGCCCTGCTCCCGCCCGCCCGGTGGCTGGTGCCTCTTTAGAACATCGTGCACCGATCGATCAATCGATCATCTCATCGCTATTGGTCGTCACCACCAGGCGCGCCTCCCGCACAGCTGCTTGGTGCTCTTCAGCTCTGACCTCTCCGACGGCTGCCTGGGGCGTTTCTACTGCACTTGGCTGTCTAGCTAAGACCTGGCTCAGAGATGTGTTATCTTTTACCATCTATCCATTTGTTTAAAGGGAAAGCACGTGGGAAGGAGGCATGCGCCAGCTGGTTAGGTATATTCTGCTTTAGAAAAACAAGCTCTTTAAGGCCCCACGTGCATGTGGTGAATAATTTAATACAACTGATAGCACTACAAAGGAATTTCTCACAGTGGCAAAATGTGCTTTCTACTTTGTTTAAATATCAGCTCTCACTTAAGATAGCGGAGCTGACAGGTTGTGCCTAACATCAGTTTATTTTCAAGGTAGCAGTCCCAGTAACACAAAATACAAGTAGTTGGAAATGCAAAACCTCGCTCATCCTGTATTCTCTGTGATCCCCTCACTCAGGCTGGACGCCGGCTGCATGGGGGAGAGAGGGGCCCCAGGAGGACACCTGGGCTCAGTTTCCAACCCGGACAGGGGACAGGACAGGGGCTGGCGCAATGGTCTCCAGCTGAGAGCCGGAGGGCCCATCTTCGGGAGCAGAGAGGGTTCATTGGGAGGAGTGCAGGGCGAGCTGCACAGCGACAGTCTGTGGCAGGGCTGAGGAGTGGGGTTAGACTGGCACCAGAGTCCCCACCCTCGCGGG